TGAGTGTGCTGAAAAAGAGACAAAGCAAATAATGGGAAGCAACTACCTTTGGTCTAGTGTGCAAATTTGACATGACAGTAACAGAGCTTTTGTTGTTCTTTTTCATACCTCAAACAGACTACTTTAAAAGTTATTTGTCGTACATTCAAAGAACAAGGAAGAATGAAAATGATCTATTAATTAAATCACAAAGTCAATTAAAAAAGGAAACAAAGCAAAGAATGAGAAGCAACAACCTTTATCTGGTGTATTTGTGTTGGCGTTAGATATTTTATGGACAGGTTGTGCCGGGGGTATTGTTGCTTTTGTTCCAACCTTAAACTGATTATTAATAAAACATTATTCATCTTTTCTTTGTACTTTTCAACGACCATTATGGAACTGGTTGATAATTTAACTGAGTCATGAAAAGAAACAAAGCAAATAATGGGAAGAAACAACCTTTTGTCTGGTGTGTGTTTCAGTGTGCATGGATGTGTGTGTGTGTGAGAGATGACACAAATAGAAAAGGTTATTTGAACACATTAATTGAGTTCCTCCACGACGGCAAGAAAATGAAAACGAGCCTGAAAGTAACAAAAGAGTGATTACTTTGATAAATGAGTGTGTGTCAGCACAGGAGGAGCTGGAGGGGAGGAGAAGAGAAGAGATGGCCCGAAGGGGAAGGAGACGCAAGAGGAAAAGAAGACAAGAAGAGAAAGGAGGGGAAAGAGGAGCTGGATTAGGAGGACAGAGGAGGTTTTGAAAAGGAGAGAGAAAGAATGAAAAGGACAGGAATCGAGTGAAAGATAAACAAGAGGGGGAAGTCAGAGCGGAGGGAAAGAAAAGGACCAGGATGCTTGAGGGGAAAAGGAGAGAAGAAAAATCGGAGTATGTGGGAGGAGGTTTTAGCTTGGAGGAGAGAGGGTCCATGTAAATGTGATCAGCTGATAACAGGGCTTTCATTGACTGTAAATATACAAACATAAAGAGCTAAATGCTGTATGTTTGAGTATTTACATGAGCACACAATTTTTCTAATGAGTTGGCACGTATACATTTTAAATTTGCCTATTTTTATTAATTTCACATAATATTTGTGTCCCATGCTTTGTGCTAATACCACATAAGAACTTTATTCAGAATCTTATTTTTTAATGCAAAATAAAACGTTTTCTTAATGTCAGTTTTTAAATGCACAGTTTTCCTCTGAGAGCACTGCGGCAGTATCAGTTACTGATGTAAGCAGCCATGACTATCAGGAGATATTTGAAAGCATGCTGTGATGCTTTATGCTAGTCAGTGTCGTTCATCTTGACCAGACAGGGATATAGTGGTGTCATCTGCAAACAAAACAAACTGGGACAAAAAATTTAATTTCAGGGTCCCAAGACTGATCCCTGTGGAACTCCACAGGAAACAATTATACATTAGTGTAATATAGGTAAGTATTATTGAGTGTAATTTTCATTCATTTTATTTAACTCAGAGGCTAGCTAACTTTATGGAGCTTGGTGAACATTATACTTGCATAGCGTAAGCATGTTAGCATTAAAATTGCAAGTATCAGCATTTAGCTTGGCAAAAAGCTGTTGCCATTCTGACTAAGACAGATTTTCTTGAAAAATTTCTCCAGATCAATATGGATATTTTTTTCCTTTGAATTAAGGGTGATAGTTACAAATGTAAGCAGCCATCATCAGGAGATACTGAAAGCAGGCGTGATTTTAAATATTATTTTTCTTCCTGTCCATAGATATAATATATGTATGTATGTATATATATATATATATATATATATACAGTACAGGCCAAAAGTTTGGACACACCTTCTCATTCAATACGTTTTCTTTGTTTTCATGACTATTTACATTGTAGATTCTCACTGAAGGCATCAAAACTATGAATGAACACATGTGGAGTTATGTACTTAACAAAAAAAGGTGAAATAACTGAAAACATGTTTTATATTCTAGTTTCTTCAAAATAGCCACCCTTTGCTCTGATTACTGCTTTGCACACTCTTGGCATTCTCTCCATGAGCTTCAAGAGGTAGTCACCTGAAATGGTTTCCACTTCACAGGTGTGCCTTATCAGGGTTAATTAGTGGAATTTCTTGCTTTATCAATGGGGTTGGGACCATCAGTTGTGTTGTGCAGAAGTCAGGTTAATACACAGCCGACAGCCCTATTGGACAACTGTTAAAATTCATATTATGGCAAGAACCAATCAGCTAACTAAAGAAAAACGAGTGGCCATCATTACTTTAAGAAATGAAGGTCAGTCAGT